AAATCATTTAAAATATCTCTTCGTTTTGTTAGATCTTCAATTTTTTTAATAATAATAGATAAATATAAAATTTTGTAAAAAGAGATTCAATTTTACACATTAAAATAGAAAAAGATTTCATACCTCAGATTCTCAATTTTGCTATACTTCTCAATACATAAAATTAAGATGAAAATTGAACTAGCATTTGCTGGAACGTTGTCGTTCCAACAGTAGTAGACATCTGACTAATACTATTGAATAAAGATTCTACCTGTAGATTTTCTGGTAATCTAGTGAGAAACTGTGCACCGTGTACAAAGTCCATTTTCAGTAACTCTTCTTGATACAAGTGCAATACTCCTAATGCTGTTCTGAAGAGGAACTCATCGCCATCTCTAAGAAAGACATCCCAGACTCTACATGCAACATCAAAAGGCATTGCTTTAGCATATATAGTGTACAACCAATCTAATAGATATAAGTCTGGGCTCAAACCAGCTACAGTGAAATGGGAAAAGACTTTTGGCAGCTTATGTGCAAGAGCACTGGAGTATACTTTGTAATAAGTGTTCATTCTTTTTTGGTCCAATGTGAAGGCGGCTCTGTGGCAAGGATAATTTAACAAATTTGCAAAGCAAGCAAAGGCATCTGGTGGATCCATGTTTAATGATAACACAGCACCCACAAAACTCATTCCTTGCACATAGCCTACATCCGGTCTGTATACAGCATAAGCTGCCAAAATACCCTGAAGGCTATCAGATAGTGGTCCATCTTCTTGAAAGACACATAAGGTAGGAAAGGTACGAGATACGTCTAATCTGATTGCAGCTAGTGATTCATTGTTAGGGCATGACATCGCCCTTTCTAAGCAAAGATTATAGAGATGCGGCGTTACATTTAAATTATTTGGAATCGCTAATTTCCATACTCTACCACGAACACTCGGCGGTAAACCACGCCACCATAGCTCTTTTACTTTCCTTGTGTTCTTAACACTTTCAAATTTAGGTAAAACATGTATATTCCACGTATTAGAATCCTCAGCTAATCTTTCTTCTTCTTTCAACTGATATTCTCGTTGTTGCTTCCGTTCTTTTTCTTCACGCAATTCTCTCTTTCTTGCTGCCTCTAAAATAGCATTGTATTGCTTACGATGACGTTCTTCTTCCAATGCAGTTTTAGCTGGCAAATTTGCTGGTCTCGGCTGTTGAATTAAGGCTGTACTACCGCCTACCTTGTCAATATTTCTTGATGGGCTGCCAGTAGGTGTTGACTGTTGAGAACCTTTATTCTTCCATGGAAACACATTCTTCGTAAAAAATGTATTCAATCCCCAACGTTTAGATGTCTTGTCATTCTTTTCTACAATATGTTGCTCGTCAGATCCCAAAAAACTTCCTGAAGGTGATATTTCACTAAGGGAAGACACTGTGCTACTACACGATCGTGGCAAGCTATTTCTTGGACTACTATTTGCACTAACATTTTCAAGTTTCAAATATTTATCTGTATCAAGTTTTACACTGGAGGATTGTTCCTTACCGTTACATGGAGATTCTATATATTGAGAAGTACAATCAATTTGTGCATCACTGGGTATTTTAGTCTCTTCCACAGAATATAATTGCTTTGTGGAAGGATTATAAGCCAAGGACATACTCTCCAAAGCATGATTCAGGCTGGCTCCTGCTACTCCCACGGAAACCACATTACCAGCGTCATACCATTTGTTTTCTCTGATGTGCACACATAGAGCCTTGGTTTTCGTCGCCGGTATAGGCGCCACATCGCACGCTAGCGCCTCGTCGACATCAACGCTGTCACATCGCACCGAATCCCCGTTCAAGGACACCAATTGCTGCTTGCCGACCTTCGGCACGATGTTATTGGCGATGTAACAACCGGATTCGCGTCCAGCAACCTTCACCACTTGAAAACTGTTGGAGGTATTGCTATAGCGAGATTTTATGTTTCCTGATGTCTGGAGGCTCTGCGACGAGACAGGATGCGTACTAGTCCCATTCAAGCGTTGGGCTGTTGCAGGACTCTTCATGGCTAGTAGCAACCTCCTAACCTTAGAAGCTCGACTCTAATTAACGAGGATAGCCATTTGCGCACCGTATTCTTTGACTCAGCGAGGCTCACAAGACTGTATACATGCATGCTTTCTTATCGATTGTCAAGGACTTGCAATGAGCCAGCGATGAGCGGAAAACGATGTTCGTTGTGGCGGTCCACCTCGATCCAACGATATGTTGAGCGATCCTCAATAATATTAGACATCAGACGACTTCCAAAGCTGACAAATAATCTTTCTCCCGAAGTGTCACGCGCACGTCATATTGATAAAACTCACGTCTCAATCAGCGCTTTAATAAATCGGGTTCTATATCAGCTAACAGTTTAGACCCTCGTCCGTCGCGTCTAAAAATACAATATCCAATAATATCAGATAAAATATATATGATTAGAGAATCGAACGATCACGAACACAGTGGTGAGAAAAACCTACGTTCTTTGAAATTAGTCGCGATCATGGACCAAAGAGTCGCATGGACGGAACATTCCACTGCATTCCACCCCCGGGAGAGGCTGATAACAAATCAGTTGTCCGCATTACTCGCACTAGTGCACACTAAAGGCTGCTATACATGAAGTTACTTAATTGAAGTTACGATATAATATCAACACTTTCATTTACAATTTATATAATAATATGATTATTAAAGTATTACATTAATATTCTTCACGAGAAGAGCACCGGCAACATTATTATCAAGCTGTATCCGAGTATGACAGATGCTATCACATCGACAACAACAATTAGTTCAAATCGTTAATTGGTGTCGAATAGGGAATTTCTAAGATTGGTTACAATGCTCTTAAGGTCTATCCAGATGAATTCGTACGGCTGCATAATGCATATGCGTAGAAAACTGACCAATCTAAGAGCTTGATTAGTGAGTTTTTTATTATCAAATAATCGACGCGTCTTCACAACGTTGTAATAGCGCCATTATGTAATATTTTGACTGAAACGTTGGCTGCATTGAAATGTCAGATTTAATACGAAAACGGATGTTTGTGAAATGTATACAGAGAGATTTGAATTGCTTTAATTTCTCATTGGAGTGATTTCTCACAAAATTCGTATAATTTAGACTGCATTAAAGTATCGAAAATGTTGATTTACGATGTATTGCACAAGGAAAAAGTGTATCACATCGTCGCCAACGATCTTAGAAGCTTTGGGGTTAAATATCGCTTCAAGAAGAGTATGCTTAAAAGCGACAGACCCGAGACATGCAAGAACATTTCTAAGAGAATCTTCAAGACTCCTCTCTTTTATCAAGCTTTGGATATTGTGAATTTGTCGTCAGGTGCCATAGTTCATGTTCCTGTGTTTGTGATTCACGCCTCAACCTTTTTAGAGAAGTATATTACTCAGGAAGGTCTCTTTAGAAAAGCTGGCTCTCAGGCGCGACAAAAGGAATTAATATCTCGTCTAGATAGTGGTGGCAGCTTGGGCGAGAAAAATAATGCAATTGATGTAGCCAGTTGCTTAAAATCTTTCTTTCGTGACTTACCAGAACCATTGATTCCGTATACGTATCACGACTTATTCATACACTGTGCATTGCTCAAGAACTGTCGAATACAGGCACTGCTGTTGGCATGTACATTATTACCACCGTATCATTTAAACACTTTAGCATTTTTTATGGAATTTTTGAAAAAGGTTTCTATGTACGAGAAACAAAACAAGATGAGCATCGAAAACTTAGCGAAAGTTGTTGGACCAAATATCATGCCTTTACAAGATACATCTATGTCAGCTGTACAGAATAGATTGCAAATGCATTTAACTATTATTAAGGTAACATATGTTTTCCAAAATATTAATAGATCATATAAGCAATAGCATTACTATAAAAAAAGTATTGTTACAGATTCTGATTGAAAATTCAGAAAATATTGGCATCTTACCACCACATATTGCTCAATGTATCTCCACAGAAACAAGCGGTAGTACAGATAATGGGCTAGATTCATTTGAGCTTCATGGAAAATCTAAAAAGAAGAAACATCGTAGTGGAAGTCTTACACGTAAGTCATATTTAAAAGCATTTTCAATTTAAATATGTTTGGGAATATATTTATTAACTCACATGTATAAAATAAAATAATCATACAAAATTGAATAATTATACATGATAATCATAACATGTTAAATGTATAATATTTCTAAATATGTAACTATCTATTATATATCTTGCATAATGTTTTATCTAGGTATGTTCAATGGTTTAAAAAAAATAGTTGGAAAAGGTGCAGATGATGCATTTAATATCAACAATCCACAACCTTCTGTACATTCAGTACAGATGAATGCACCTTCAAACAAATTTACTAAAAAACGAAAAGTAGTTGAGAGAGAACCTCCTCCAAGTTTAAAGAAAAAGTATGAAAAGACTGATCATTTTATGCAAATTTTCCCTTTTTTATATCTATATGATTTATATATATAATTTAAAATTATATAATTATAAGATATACATGATTCTAACATGTACATTTTAGGAGAATAGCTGAAAAATTGGATAAGTCAAAAAAACTAAGACTGAGTTTGGATAAATTTGTTCCTAAAAATAAGCAAGTGAGTATATCTATTTTTATACCTCAATATGTACCATCAAGATTTGTTAACAAAATTTAATATTATATACCTTTCACTAAAATAATTTTAATGGAATATTTTCAGAAAAACATCGATGATGACTTATCAGATTCATATACGAGTAATAACAAGCTGAATGATGAAAGACGTTGGAGTTCAGTAAGCAATTCTTTTTGTACATATAAAATACGTAACTATAGCGATGGAGTGTCTCATTTGAGATTAATGAAACATGATGAACCGTCAAATAATGATTTTCAGCAAGAGTATAACGATGTATTTAACGATGCTACTGTGGATTTATCGGAAGATGGTGGTGAGCAGGACTTGCTTATGGATAAAAGTCACAGCAGAAATGGTGATCAATGGCGTATGAACGTAAGCACAAGTTCCAAGAAATTGGATGAAAGCGATAATATGTGTTTGCTGACACCTGAGGAAAGGACTGATTCGGAAGAGTTTGATGTATTTCATCCTAATGTTGACACAGTATCTTCGTTAAGTGATAACTGTGAAGAAGATTATGTCAAAATCCCTAAAAGTGAATATGAAGATATAAAAAATCGAGTTTCTGCAATTGAAACACGTATTTCTCAAGAATTTAAATGCATATACAATGATGAAAATGATATAACTACGCACTCGGTAAATAACGTACAAACAGCTTATGAAAAAACATTAGAAGAGGCTAGTATTGAAAACACTTTGACAAGTGACTATTTAGCAAAGAAACTGAGTAAAGAATTAAAAATCAGAAGATCGGGAGAACATAAAATAATAAGATCTCCTAGCGCAAGGAAAATTGGATCGTTACGAAGACGTTCACAAGAAAAAGTCACAAGGTAATTAGATTGTATTTAAACTTTTTTCTTTACTATATTTTCTTAGTGTAACAATAATTCTATAACGTGTCAACTATTATACATTTTAAAAATAACTATTTTTATGAAAAAAATATATGTATTATATTAGAACAAAAAATTAAAATAGCATATAAAAATATATAATTAAATAAGGTAATAAATTATTATTTCATAAATCATTTTTATTTGCAGCAAACGTATCAGACGAACTGCATCATGGCATATCTCTCCAGAATTTAATTTACAACACCAAATTCAACTTGAAAAACAAGTAAACGTTTATCCCATCGATAAACAATCGACCTTTTCTAACAAATATTTAGAAGAACAATCTTATTCTGCAGAAAGATGTAACAGAATTATTTCCAACAATACGAAAGACAAAATATGTCTACATAATCAAATGAACACATTGATTCCTGGTTCAGTTGAACAGAAAATTTCAAATAATAGTACTCTGAATCTTTCTGGATTTAACGATCTACATTTAACCAATAACCGAACAACTTCATATGTGCGTAGAGCTTCATCTTTCCATGGAAAAGACTTTGTAGACAATTCATCATATTTTGATAAAAAGATAGATGACTTAAAAAAGACCAATAGTCATCAGAATATAACCTTAAATAATGATTGTTTGCAAAAAGATAATACTGTTTCCGAAGGCTTGAAAGAAATATCTTGGAAAGATGCAGATAAGTATTTTAAATCCGATTTTCGAATAAATACACCTGCTCCACAAACTGGTAGAGCATCAGTTGCAAAACTTCGAGCGCAAAATGCTGGTATGGTTTTAGCCAAAGCCAAATTATTTGATGACACAACTAAAACGTCAGAGTTTACCAATGTTTCAAACAGGAAACTATGCCATGATAAAGAGAAACGTTCTCCAAATATAAATAAAGAAATGGATACAAAAGGTGAACATTTTAAGCAATCGTATAAGAGACATGTGTCTCGAAAACAATCAAATAAGGATTTAAAAAATAAGAATTGTCACGTAGTGTTATCTCCAAATATGACACAGCAGATTAAAACACAGGTAACAAATGTATCATTAAAACCGCTTCAAAGTCGAATTGATAAGAATCGTCGTTCCACGCAAAAATTCGAATTACAAAATCAGAAATTCTTAAATAAGGATCCAATAATACATCAAGTTTACGCTAAAGATAAAGAGTTTAATGCTATATGTAGCACGGAAAATCATCAAACAGAAAATACTTCTGCAAAAACATCGTCGTTAACAAAGATTCCTATCAATATAATGCTGGAAAATTCAAATATATCTCCTTACAAAGTAGAGACCAGCAAAACACCACATATTAAGCGACCTTTAACAGTAAAAACGCCAAAAAGTTCTAAGTTAGTGCGCAGACCTCCAGTTGATACACGTAGAACCCCATTGAAAGCAACAGCGCAATTAGGAACTCCAAAACGACAAAGCCCCAAAAGTATTTTGAAAACAAAAACTCTCAGTATGCATACATAACAGATACACAAATCATATTGAGCACATGTTATTTGCATATATGTATTTTTTAAAGAAATTCTAACTTTTATACATATATTTTTACAACTAGTATCTTTTGTGGTGTTCCTAATATATTAAATACTTATATTAGCGGGATATATTTGTTATGACTATAAAAAAAATTACTAAACATAAGAATAGATTATCACAGTAATAAAAAAAGTGATAGTTTATGCATAGATGTTTAAAGTTCCATTCAAACAAGTGCCTATTAAAGTGTGATTTAAAGACATTTCTGTGGATTATATCTCTATAATTTAGTAAATTCATTTTTTAAAGAGATGGATAAAAATTGTTTAAGACTAGTCATCGCATATATCTGCTTTCATTTACATATAGTCCTCGTTACATTAATTTACATACAAGTTCAAATCCATTGCAATATTCATATTGTTGCTCATTAACATTTTATATAAATCACTATAACTGACATTTGACTTGTGAATGTATGTATCTATTACCATAAAATTAATTAAATCTTTATTTTATATCTACATATACTGTCTCACTGTTTCCTTGAATACCTTTTTTTTGCTCTTTTTCAAACATTCGCGCTGTTATATGGTATCGACACGAGCGATAATCATGATCCACGTGGTTCAACACGGTTATCATTGCCGTGGCCAATCACGTGGCACCGCTTGTCCTTCACTTGCTGTCAAAGCACCGGGGATTGACATTTCGCATCTTATATAATTAACGACGGGACGCAACTATAAGGAGTCACGTATTACTTGTTTTCAATCTTTTGTGAAGAGAGAAAATCAAAAGCACGCGCTATCGTTAAAGTAAATAATTTGCATGTGTATACACGGCATGCCCGATTGGATATATAATTCGAAGATACCGCGACGATATCAGCGCCACGTTAACACCGACTCGTGCAGAACACTGTGCAGCTGTCGAAACTGTCGACGAAACGTAAAATTCTCCGTGCGATAAGCATCAGCGAATTCTGTCGTCGTGAAACGCAGCCCTTGGGCTCGCGGAAAAAACGGCCGTGAAAATGAGGGAAGCTGGGATCATGTTGATAAGCACCGCGCTAACATGCGCTGTTATTGGCCATGCATATTATCAAAGAAAACAATTCTATCCGACTGTTGTCCACATAACCAAATCCAACCCGAGCATGACCGTGAGTTTTTTTTCCCATGATGTTTCTGATAAGACTGTTCTAGTAGCCATGAGGTTATTATCATAATATTACATATGGGTTACTTTTTGCTCAGGTGATCTACGTGCAAGGATTTATCCTTGCATTCATGATAAATGCCTTCCTGCGAAAAATCTTTTTCGGTTCCTTACGTGCTGCCGAACTCGAAGTAAGTAATCTATCCTTAATTTTTTATTTGGTTGATTTTTTTATGATATCACTCATTTATCATTTGCAGCACTTGGTCGAAAAAGTGTGGTACGCAGTGACAGAAACATGCTTGGCGTTTACAGTATTTAGGGATGATTTCAGCCCTAAGTTTATAGCATTATTTACCCTCCTTCTGTTTTTGAAATCATTTCATTGGCTTGCCGAGGATCGTGTTGATTATGTGAGTTTTATATCGTTCAGTGATATACATTGTCATATATCGATGTATTGATATCTTATTTTATGATAGACTTATTTATAAATATGTGTATATAACTAATTTGTTCTTTATCTTTCAGATGGAAAGAAGTCCAGTAATAACATGGTTATTCCATCTCAGAGTTGCTACTTTACTAGGACTTTTATTTACCATCAATTTAACAATGATCCATTATGCATATAATACAACAGCCACTAAAGGTCCCTCTGTACAACTCGTATTTGGCTTTGAATATGCAATTTTATTGACTGTTGTTTTTAACATCACTGTGAAGTATGTACTGCATACTATTGACCTACAAAGTGAAAATCCATGGGATAACAAACCAGTTTTCTTACTGTACACAGAATTGATTATCGGCTTATTAAAGGTAATTTATCTAATCCAAAAATCTTGTATATTGATTTATGATTCATGTGTATATCTTGCTGATGAAAACAAATTCTTTTTTTAGGTTATCCTCTATGTCGCCTTTGTGACTTTAATGATAAAACTATTTACATTACCTCTGTTTGCATTACGTCCTATGTACTATACAATGAGAGACTTCAAGAAAGCATTTCATGATATAGTAATGTCAAGGAGGGCTATTAGGAATATGAATACCCTTTATCCAGATGCAACAACTGAGGAGTTGGCTGCTGCTGATAATGTCTGCATTATATGCAGGTAAGTAATGCAACAAATGAAATTATTATTTTGTAATATTTGTAATATTTGTAATATTTAACTCAATGCATTATGGTGATATATAGGGAGGAGATGGTTACAGCTAGTAAAAAATTGCCGTGTAATCACATCTTCCATACTGCCTGTCTACGTTCTTGGTTTCAACGCCAACAGACATGTCCTACATGTCGTTTGAACATTTTAAGGCCTACGCCAACCACACCACCTAGACAGAATAATCCTCCTCCGCCAGCACCACAACAGGTGCCTCCACCTCAGCCTCCACAAGCACCTGGTGCAAACCCTATGGGTAAATTTTTTATTGTTAAATTTAACAGTTCTAAATAATTATTATATATTTTTAATGTGATTTTTGTTATTTAGGACCACCTTTCCATTTCCCAGTATTTTTGGCTGGATTGCCAGCTCCAGGAATGCCACCACAACAACAACCACAACAACAACAGCAGCAACAGCAACAGCAATCTCAGCCTCAACCTCAAACTAGCGCCGGAAATACGCCTCCGTCGCAAAACATACCTCCAACTGGAAATATACCGCTTTTCCCACCATTATTTCCTACGATAGTACCATTGCCACCTATTCCTGCACCACTACCGAACTTAACCGAATTGAGCGAAGAAGAACTTAGAGCGATGGAAGGTAACTTGCGGCAAGCTGTACAAGTCAGAATACAAACGTTGCATAGAATTCAACTCTTATTGAGTGCAGCCAATGTAATGATGAATCAATATCAAACAGCAGCTGCTACAGCTAAGTAAGTACTTAGAATTCTACAAATAAATATTTTCAGATTTGTATAAATAATGAAACTTAAAATTATAGCATTCCTATGCACAGCAGTCCTACTACTAACAATATTGAAAGTACCTCGGATACAATGACAACGCAAAATACAAACAATACGATGGACGCAAGCGCTGAAGTTCGGGATAAAAGTTCTCCTGTTAGAACAGAAAACACTCCTGTTTCAAGTACGTCGATGGAAAACGCTCCTACTCCAAGTATACCGAACGAAGATGCGTCAACATCTAACCAATCTAATGATACAGCGGAGCTTTTATCCACGACAGAGACGACATCATCGAGCGAACAAGAAATGTTACGCAGACGTAGACTACAAAAGTTTTCACCTCCACCAACAGAATAAATAAAAATAAAATTGTGTGATAAATTATGTAACATAATACTTTAATGTGGTTAATGACCGGCCTCAATTAATGCAAGCGATCAATAATTGAGGTATAATAACTAAAGTTTGGATTTTGTAATCGATATGAGAACTTTATTGAACGTTATTTCGGTTAAGTCGGTTGGTCAATGAATTAAGCACAATTAGAATTACTTGTAAAGAATTCTCTAGCGATTGTTAAATCCAGGACTTAGTAATATCTGAGACTGAAGCTTGAAACTTGTGAATCGTAAACTCTGAAGTTATAATATCAACAATCATAATCACATGGAAGAATAATTTTATAAGAATAACAACTTATATCTTTCTTTTTGTAAACTATTATCCAGAATACATATAAAATGCGAAAGTTCTATTGGCGGATAATTTTGAGATTTACAAACGTGTTTTACCTGTATATAATTTGATTTTCTTGCTTTATGTAGCCCTTATAATCGCGCGAAAGTATTTCTTACGAAACTACGAAATTCCATGTATTAATTCCTTTGCGTAACATGTATTTGAATAACTTTGTCCCTAAGATTTAATATATGCAAATTTCTTATGTACAGTTACAATCGTATTATATCATACTATGTAAATAAGCTATCTTTCTCTTATCTCTTCAAATTAAGTCTAAATTAAGACACCAATATCGATTACAATAATGACAGTACAAGCATTTCTAATTGTTACGTAATTTATTTATTATTACAATCTTTCTATGATTTTTCTCTATTTCTTTTTTTAAATATATAATTTACTACATACTCGTGGATTTAGTGCTATTTGGATAATTATTTGTAGTTAATAAATAAAATGCAGAGAGTATATGTGGAAAGTGGAGGGATATAAACTTTAACTTTGTTTAAATAAAATGTTTTATATTCCTCTTCTATTAATAACATTAATATTTTTATTAATGCTGTTAGTATTGATTGGGAATTTTACATCATTTTATTTTATATTATTTTCTAGTGAAACTCTGGTATCTTGGTAATCAATTCCTACTTATTTTGAAATAAATCAGGACTTAATTGAAATAATTGGATACCAGGAAATATATTCAAGATATCTAAGCATTAACAGCATTATTATTTGATTATGTATAAATACTCAATTAAAAGGTGGATTTTCAAAATTGTATAGAATGAGTATATAATTATATTAAAATAAAGTTTGCATAGCAAGATTTTGATTGATTAAATACAATTTATCTGTAATGGAAATTATTAGACAAAATAATTTATTATTATGAAAAATGATACTTTTTATTGAATATACACATAATATTTGATATTACTCTCCTTGCTCTGAACATCTAATTACATGAAACTTTACATTATTATATGTCTTTATATGTATATTTGACATATTTGTAAGAAAATTACCGATCTACCATCAATTATATTTGGTGTAAAAATAATTAGAGCAATATGTAACATGGTAGAAAAACGACGTCTGACAGTGCTCCGCTAAGTTTTATTGATCAATCGAAAGATATTTATAACCTCATTTTAACATCTCGAAAACACGCACATTCCCCATTTCGCGAAATGGAATATTCGATACTGAAGTTTGTTGTACATTGACGCAAGAATAACACAGATTTTTCAAGAAATCTTACTCGACTGGTTTACATTTTAATAATATAATATTCATTTATCTGTACACTCATTATTCGAATTTCGCGCCAGCATCCTTGCGTTGCACGCGGCAGACCCCGTGGCGCGTTGTTATGATCTATCATGGCGGAATGTAGTGTTGTGGCTCGATGTCTACGTCAATTTTAGAGTGATATAGCTTAAGAAAAACGGTGATAACGGCGATGCGAGCCGGCGACGTCTGTCACGAATATTCGCGTAAGACAACCGTGTTCCTATGAGCGCCTGCATCACGGGAGCAACATCCACGTTCGTGCTTTCGTTCGCCGCCGCCACGGGAAGAATCGTACACAGCAGCGAGAGCACACACACAACGTACGTTGACGGAGACTATCGGCCGCCGAAGAGGAGCTGCGACGTCGAGCCGGTCAAACCGATCGTGCTATACCTTGACTGGTGCATCTCGGAACGTCATCGCCGCAACACGTGAGAGCGCAAGCACGTACAGCGTGCGAACTTTTCCCGCGCGCACTCATCTCCTGGGGAGTTTTTCGCAGAGGTATACTAAGAGTCAACCGATTTATGCAACGGATACTGCGTAAACATTCAACGTCGTAAACAGTTACCTCGCCGCGAGGAAATTTGGAAACCTGGGCACACGTACGACGCGCGTCCATTGCTCATGCTACTATTTAAGCCTTCTGTCTCTCGGAACACGCGTACCTTCTCTGAACTCGTTGGCTAACTGGTGCCGCAAACGTTGTCTTGTGTATAATTGATGTGCGTTATTTGCCACACGAAATACTGGTTAAAACCGACCTTGAGCACAGTTTGCACGCATCGCGTACATGCGTATGTAGGATTCGTTTTCTGATAAAGACACTAATCACCAAGCGCTTTATTTATACCAAATCCTTCGATGCAATAACAGCAAATGCCAAGAACCAACATGTGCAGATCTTGATGAGTTGTATAAGGGCATGCAGAAGTTTAACATACCTAAGTTTCTGTCCATTTGTTAATCCGATAAGTATCTGAAGGTATCTCAAAGTGAGTCATCAGACGGAGTTGACAACTTTTAGGCAAACTTAGAAAGGCATGCAGGATAGTTGGTGATACGGGAGAGAGTGCACTAATTAGTTTTACAATATGACGGACACACGTAGAAGAGTAAAGTTGTATGCTCTTAATGCAGATAGACAATGGGATGATCGTGGTACAGGTCATGTTTCCTCTTCCTATGTAGATAGATTAAAGGGGATTTCCCTGTTGGTAAGAGCGGAAAGTGATGGCTCTGTCTTGTTGGAAAGTAGGATACAACCTGATACAGCATATCAGAAACAACAGGTAATTGTGCAATGATTGGCAAAATATTATGGATTTACATTAATTATGTCTTGTAAGAGTACTACATAGTTCTTTTTTTTTCTCAATTTTTTTTCTAGTACAGTTAATATCTTTGTCCTTATATTATGTTAGTTACGTAGTCATTTTATATTCTGTAATTTATTCGTGAATATCGATGTTAATGAACAAGTAAAGTTAGAGAATATCTAAGAAAACAAAGAAAAGTGATGCATTTTTTAAATTACTGTTTAAATATTTAATAAAATAATTTAAATAAAAAATCAATTTTAATAGTATAAATTATTTTTTTATTATAAAATACATAATACTTTTGCATTGCAGAATAAACAATATTTTTTATTATGTATTATTACATTGTACTATTACAAATGAATCCACTCGAATGATTACAGCATGTGTTGCAAATATGCATTAAATATATAATTTATGTAGCATAATATTCAGCATAAAATTTAAATAATGGACAATTAATACATAAGTAATGTACAATGTGAGTTATAATAATGTGTATATGATTTTAGGATACTTTAATAGTATGGTCCGAAGGAGATAACTTTGACCTGGCTCTAAGTTTTCAAGAAAAAGCTGGCTGTGACGAAATATGGGAGAAGATTTGTCAAGTTCAAGGGAAAGATCCATCTGTAGAAATAACACAAGATATTGTAGAAGAATCTGAAGATGAGCGGTTTGATGATATGTCAGATGCAGCACCACCTATTGAATTACCTCCGTGTGAACTTAGCCGATTGGAAGAGATTAACGAGCTCATAGAGAATTGTTTAACATCCCCGATGAGAAAAGAAAAATTAGCAGTAGCACTGGAAACTGAAGGTTATATTAAGAAATTGCTAAACCTTTTTCGTACGTGTGAGGATTTAGAGAACATTGAGGGATTGCATCAGCTTTATGAGATATTCAAAAATATTTTCTTACTTAATAAAAATGCATTGTTTGAAGTTATGTTCAGTGACGATACAATTTTCGATGTTGTTGGATGTTTGGAATATGAACCATCGTTATCTGAGCCGAAGAGGCACAGAGAATACCTTCGACAATTAGCCAGATTCAAACAAGCAATTCCTATTACAAACACCGAACTGTTAGCTAAAATTCATCAAACGTATAGAGTTCAATACATTCAAGATGTAGTGCTGCCAACTCCGAGTGTATTCGAGGATAACATGCTGAGTACATTGAGTAGTTTTATATTCTTCAATAAAGTTGAAATAGTGACTTTGATACAGGATGATGAGAAGTTTCTTACTGAACTTTTTCGTCAGTTAACGGACGAAGCGACCTTAGATAGCAAGAGACGCGACTTGGTTCTCTTTTTGAAAGAATTTTGCAATTTTTCGCAAAATCTTCAACCACAAGGAAAGGAGGCGTTTTATAAAACATTAACAGCACTTGGTATACTTCCTGCTTTAGAAATCACTTTGGCAATGAACGATGCGCAGACAAAAACAGCCAGTATAGACATACTGACTTATATCGTGGAATACTCTCCAAGTGTTGTAAGAGATTATACATTGCAGCAAATAAATAACACAGAACAGGACCAAATGTTAGTGAATGTAATAGTTGCTCAACTTGTCGGAGATAGCGATCCTGAATTGGGTGGAGCAGTACAGTTGGCTGGCGTACTACGTTTGCTTTTGGATCCGGAGAACATGTTGGCTTCTGTTAACAAATCAGAAAAGACTGATTTCTTAAATTACTTTTACAAGAATAGTATTGGTACTCTAATAGCGCCTCTCCTAGCGAACACAATTGGAGAGCGACCGGTGAGAGAGGATTATAGAACAGTGCAACTTTTGGGATTGATCTTGGAGTTATTATCATTCTGTGTGGAGCACCACACGTATCACATTAAAAACTGCATACTGAACAAAGATTTACTCAGAAGAATATTGGTTTTAATGAAGTCAACGCATACATTTCTAGTACTATGTGCATTAAGGTTTATGAGGAAAATTATAGCATTAAAGGATGAGTTTTATAATAGATATATAATCAAGGGTAACTTGTTTACTCCTGTATTTGATGCATTTGTAAGAAACAATGGCAGATACAATCTTCTAGACTCAGCTATATTGGAAATGTTTGAGTTTATTAAATTGGTAAATATGAGAATTTTGAGAATACAACAAACTTGAATATTGTATTCTTATTTATCATTTTGCTATAATGTTTTAGGAGGATATTAAATCACTCTGTTCACACGTTGTTGAAAACTTTTCGAAAGAACTGGAAGCAATTGATTATGTACAAACCTTTAAGGCTTTGAAGTTAAGGTACGAACAACATCAAGACAAACTGAAAGATCGCGATAGAGCAGCGATTGATAGGTATATATATATATAAACTGAAATATATCTTGTTATTTTTGTGTCAACAAAAGTAAGATAACGGATAAAATTATACATAAGATAAAAATAAGTTATGCAGACAAGCAGGTTAGAATATATCAGAAATAGGTACAATTATTTCTCTAAAAAATATAGAATTTTATAAGTATTAAAATAATTTATTTGTATATATAGTGTCCCATCAATTTTGCGGAATAGTCGATACCGAAGAGACCAGAGGCAGCTAGAAGAGGACGAGGAGCTATGGTTTAATGAAGAGGAAGAGTTTGATGAGGGTGAGGCGGTGGTACCCGCAATAGCAGCCGATCATATACTTCCAGTTTCTGCTAAGAAACAATCGTCATCTTCAAATGTTGCACTTAATCCCGATCTTGCAGATTCAAAAAATCATCAGCAACAACAGCAACAACAGTCTGTATTAAACAACAACACGTCGAATAATAACATTACTTCACAACAACCACAAATCAATAACAGTTCGTCAACAACGAATGAATCACCGATCACTTCTGATATAAATCCTACTCCAGCTATTGGCACTGTAGAAAAGACGGGAACCGCATTATTTAAAAAGGTAAATCGAAAGATACACATATTTGAAATACTTAGAGTTACATAGTAAAATTTTTTGAATATGCCATCAAAATAATTGATATTCAAATTTATTTATTTATATAATAATTAAATTAGCTTTTAAATTAATTCAACAAGAATTTTATGTTATTCCGCAAATTTTAATTAAGGAAATTAAGGTTCAGCAATCTAATTTTCAGGGGTTAGTGGATTATGAAGGAGATTCAGATGAGGAAGATGAAGATTCGGAATTAAGTCCTTCCCCAAAGCGACAACGATTGTCATAGTAGGCAAACTTGGAGAAAACAAGACATTTGTGATTTTTAATTGCTATTATCATTTCATGACCCTCCTACATGTAAAAACAAATCTATCCCCTCATTTTCAGAAGAAACATAGATTGAGCTTTCTTGCTAAGGAATGGACACAACAATAAGTGCTTTTAAAAAAAATGTGTGATGGGCACTCATTTATAAGCCTGTGTTGACTTGTGTATAGTATGCGAGACATTAGAGTCTGAAAGAAAGCTAAGTAAACTATGTGGATCGAATGTATTGGTAAAACAAAGAAAGAATGAACTTTCTTCAACGAAACGAACAGTGGTAGTATTGTGGCATAATATGATGTAGCACAATGTACTATATAATGCGTAAAAAAAAAAAAGAGTAAGAGATATTAAGCAAATCATAGTCCATTCCACTTGTCTGGAAACACTTTGTGCACTAGGAAAAATAATCTCATGGATAAAACTATGCATAGATTAAGAAAATTTGGCCAAAACTAGCCAAACTTAGCGACTTACAGATGAAGGAGATCCAAGCGTGCGCTTAGATAAACACAGTGACAAATTGCGATGTTGCAATCAAACTGTGTGTAAACTATAATCATAATATCTCACAGTTATCTGGTAAGTCTGCTAAGAAAAAAAACTTACAACATGTTGTAAGAGTAAATGCAAAGGAAAAACAAAGAGTACATAATGTACCGCACAATCAAGCGTTTTGTTTTGCCATTCGTAAGTTTCTTATCGCATGCGATAACAAACCAATTCTTCAAGGGAATCAGGCACTATGAAACTTTATCCAGTTCTACAGAAATAATATTTAGTTTGTATATATATGTATATTTGTAACGATTGTAAAACACAACCATACTCTTGGATTAAGCAAAAAACATACAATTTCTTTTAGAATTTGGTTTCCCTTGAAATACTTTCAACAAGCTTTTCGGTTGTCAATGTAAGTAGTAGTAATTGTACAATAAATATTTGATTTATGTATATTTACCAGTCTGCACTTCATGCCCAAAATGTTAATCCTTGATGTATAAAATATAATCTGAATGTATCGCGTAATATTTGAATATTAGGCTTAAAACATATTGTTCGTATGAATGATTTGTATCTATATGGGCAAAATGGAGCCAAAACTTGCAGAAAGGCGTTTCGTAAAAGCGTCAAATAGAATTACATGTAATTTAGCTTTGTTAAATTATAAACATGTTTATAATGCAATATATAATTTATATATTGGACAAATCAATAATGCCAGAAGATGCAATATTCTTAATTTGTACTTGCTATTAGATTTGACAAAATATCTTTATTTTATAAAAGTACATTTTCAAACTACATCATATTTTAAACTTAATTTTGTAGAACAAATTCATCTCTTTGGATCAGCTCCAGAAAACAAATGTCTACTGATTTTTAAATCATTTATGCAACCGATACAGCTGACAGTGAAAACCTAATTTTAGCATTTACCGCTAGATAATTCTTATAGAAAGTCGCATTATTAATATTTACGTTTATATTTTTTTTATTCTGTTTACTCTAGAGCAGAGCGTTATAAGCTAATGTACAGATTTTCCAACAATATGCCTAATACCCGAAAGAATTTCCAAGACTGCTTTAGAACTGTAAGTACATGCTTGGAATATCACAGTGGGATACATACATGTACACATATACATATATATTAACATAAGATATTGAGAAAGAGATTTAGAAATTAATTCATGAGAATGAACAAACTGTGAATATCTAAGTAGGCAAATTCGCTGGAGCTGAGTGATACATGTACATAAAATGTTATGCGACTTGGACTGATCACAAAAAAAGAAGAAGAAATGTAACAAAGGCTAATATTAATTAGTTAAGTAAGATAATGCTGAATAACGTTGTTCTTTATGTGTTTTACATATATCCACAATTTCTTCGGTAATAAGAAACAAATATTAAGCCTAGAATGCTACATTGGATGCAAAGGATGTAAGTAAAATTAAAGAAGCAAATTAATATCTAAGTGATATTAGAAAATAAAAGTGCGGTCACATGCTATTTAAATTGATAAATTTAATGCGTACATTTATAGAACAGAGTGTTCTAGACTATGCTTTATTAATCAACTTCGTCATTAGTGACGTATCATGATTATTGTCCGCTTTGTTTCAATTTTTATATTAGAGTATTTAGTATATATTAAATCTTTTAAAGCATAAAATGCAATAAGCTAAACATATTTTCCTACAAATTCATTCAAATTTGTAGAATAAAGTACTTTTAGTATCGAGTACAACAAAATGTTTAATCCATTAAATTTACGAAACAGATAAGAGAAATGTTATAATCTCAAGTTTATTATTTGCCGTGAAGATGTTAGTTTTATTACACAATGTTTTCTATTGAATATAACATTTAATACATCATATAACTTTGGACATACAGTATAACAGTCTAAAACATTCTGCCTCAAAAACCGTCGCCGAGATCGCAGGCATAACATTTTTCAACCGTCACATGAATGTAATGTTAAAGGAAGAAAACAGGCGTGCACACATTGTACAATATCACATGCTAATAATGTTATGCGTTTTAATTATGTAATAACAAAATAAGAAGCTTTTTCTTTGAAAGTATATATGTATATATATAAATATATGTATACAGGCATATATGTATATATGTATACATATATATGCACAGAAAAAGACCTTTTTATATGAAAAAGCTATTCGTGAATTTTGTGAAATAAGAGCAAGCATAAGATATACAATCCTGTGTGTATTATGGTAATAAGTGAATGAATTGTAATTGAAAAACGATATTTTGCATTTTTATTCTACTGAAGAATGAAAGATCGATCAGATAACAAAAGTGACACCTAAATGCAGGATTCATAGCACAAAACAGGCGAGCTTTTTGGCAAATATTGTATCATCATATTCTAGTTTAATTAATGAACGGTTTCTAACATCGAAATTTATGTTGATTAATTTATGAAAATTAGAGATTTGTATTTACTACGATAGGAAAGGGAGGGGAAATTAAATTTTACTTAAATTTATAGTAAATTATATTTATATATATTTATTTTCAATTGATATTAAATGTTCGTGACATTTCTATAAATTTTTATATGATTATTATATAATTTAGAGAAAAATTTATTTTGAAATTTATTGTGTATGCTACTCTAACAGATACACTGCTTTCCATTATTCTGTACAAAAATACATGTTAATAATTAATTCAATATCCAGTAAGCTAAATGTTTGCAATGTTGATAAGAAATCTATCAACATCGCTAACATTTTGCTAACTGGATAATAATGACAAAAATTAAACGTTTGTCGTACTTATTGCTGGTATTATGCTATGAATCTATTTCATTTATTAGAAAGTAGACTGCAAAGAAGTAAGAATGATAAATGTGTGTTATATAAATACAGTGTGTGTTGTAGAGAGAAGTGCGAAGAATATTTAATTAAATAAAATCTAAAATTATAGATGAATATTGGTCAGTGACCAAAGCTTTAATCTACCTTAATATCTACTTTGAGTTTCTGCTGAATATGAATGTGACGCATCGAACTCAATAATTAATGTAATTTAATCTATTTAATATGTATAATGATTGCTAATTCTATTATTTTACATAATTTTTTATATGTTTATAAATCTGCACGTTAAACCTTTATTGAATGTTTTACACTTACACAAACATATATTCCTGTACAAGGATGCGGTGCGAGGATAGTAAGAAAACGTTTTTTTATAGTATTTTTTTATTAAATATAGTTGTGTTAAATCAAATATTTAATGAGATAAAATAGGATATGAATTTTGCAGGTGTACTTCAATTTTATTCTCTATTCTCTATTCTCTCTCTCTCTCTCT